GTGCTTTTTATAACAATTTTTACATATGCTGGGAGATGCTAGTGTTATGAAAAAACATAAAAACGGAAATCTTCCCGACTGATGTTATATAAGTGAAACTAAACTTAGTATCTCAAAGATTATAAAATCAAAGCAAAACATGGCAATGCCTGAAATGACAGAGCCACTGCCTGTGTAAGGCTCAGCCACTCAATGAACTCCTAGCACAAAAGGGACTCGTCCTTCCTGCATCAGGCTCAGGTTTGCATCATTGGAAACTTACAGGCATCTTCAGTGTGGAGGGCAGGATTCTCCCTAACTAGATGAGAAGAAGGTACAAAGGTTAAGTAATCTGCCTAAGTTCACACCAGTAGAAAGTGAGCGACTAGAACTGAGATTTGGCTCTTCTTTTAATGCTCTTTTTAGGACACTAAATTTATCCATCTCTATTATATAAAACCAGAATTAGTATTAATTTTTAAATAATTAAGACTGTCAAAAATACACAGATGTACAGAACAGACTTTTGGACTCTGTGGGGGAAGGCGAGGGTGAGATGTTTCAAGAGAACAGCATCGAAACATGTATATTATCTAGGGTGAAACAGATCACGAAACATGTATATTATCTAGGGTGAGACAGATCACCAGCCCAGGTTGGATGCATGAGACAAGTGCTCGGGCCTGGTGCACTGGGAAGACCCAGAGGGATCGGGTGGAGAGGGAGGTGGGAGGGGGGATCGGGATGGGGAATACATGTATATCCATGGCTGATTCATGTCAATGTATGACAAAAACCACTACAATACTGTAAAGTAATTAGCCTCCAACTAATTAAAAAAAAAAAAAAAGACTGTCAAAAATAATGCCCTCCCAATAAGATTTCTTTTCCATTGTAACCTTCACAATAAGAAAATCCAGCATGGTGCTACAGACTGAACTACATTCCCTCAAAATTTACCTGGCACCTCAAAGTGTGACTGTATTTGGAGACAGGGCCTTTAAATAAGCCATGGAATTTTCCAGGCAAGAATACTGGAATGGGTTGCCACTGCCCTCTCAGGGGAACTTTTCGACCCAGGGATCAAACCTGGGTCTACTGCATTACAGGCAGATTCTTTCTAGTCTGAGTCACCAGGGAAACCCTTTAAATAAGCAGTTAAGGTTAAATGAGGTGGTTACAGTGGACCCTAACCCAATGTGACTGATGTTTTTACCGGAAGAGATCAGGACATGGACACAGGGAACACCATGTGAAGATGGAGATGGAGGGAGAGAACACATGTCTGCAAGCCAAAAAGGCAGGCCTCGGGAGAAACCAGCCTGCTGATATCTCAACCATGGACTTTAAGCTTCCAGAACTGAGAGAGAACAAAAGTCTATTGTTTATTAAGCCCCTGGGTCTGTGGTGTTTGTTACAGCAGCCTGAGCTGATACATATAATATGCAGAGCAGTAGGAGAAAAAAAATCCTCCACTGGTCTACCACATGTAATTTGATCAGAGCATGACCCTTTTTTTTAAAAAACTGCAATTATCAAATTTTTAAAAAGAGCCAATGACAACAGCTTTTTTTTTTTAAACAAATGCCTGTGAATTAGAGAGACATCCAGCAATGGGTGTTAAGATTCCTATGCTCTGTGTGATCTCCCCCTTACAAACTGCTCAGAAGCAGTGATTCTGGTTGCAGGACGATGCAGACCGTGGACTCCATCCCTTCAGACATGTTTTTCACTGCTTTCCTCTGCTGGGCTGGTCTGCAAATGACCACAACCTTGTCCTTCTAATGTGACAGATCAGATTTGGAATAAAGACAAATCAGTGGTTAAAACTACTTGTGAAGTAGTTTTTGTGAAGCAGTACTTTGCTCAGAGTAGGTCCCCCATAAATCAGACACACAGAGAGTCCACCACAAAGTCTAACTCTTGGGAGAGCCAGGGTCACCAGGCACTACTCCCCTTGTTTTTCTAGTGAGAAAGTGCAGGGCGCATGCAGTCATGTCCAGATTTCTTACAGACAGATCCTTTAGGAGACGAACTCAAGGCAAAAGCTTTAAAGCTACTTTCACAATCAATATGTGAAGACAATTTAGAATGCTGAATTTCAATCTTCAGTTGTTAACTCTTTATGTTAATGTCAATGGTTTTAAACGGTTTTCCTTCTCTACTTTTCACATCATGGTTCCAACATGAAGACACAGAATTCAAAAGCTCTACATAATATGCCAACCCTATAAAGGATTTCCAGGTAGTTCACATGGTATTTCAAGCTCTTATGTTTTCCCAGAGGATGAATTTTCCAAGGCGTTAAGCTGAAATTAATGGAGGAGGATGGAGATAAAAACAGAAGCAGGAATGTGCCTACAGTACACATAGCAGCCTACTCACCTACTGTTGACAGCCAACGTAAAAAAGAAATACATGGCAAGGACCCAAACTTCCGGGTCGCTATCACCAGAGCTGACTGGTGTCAACACACTGCCTGGTCCAGTGCCCTTCACATAAAAACTAAGCAGAAAGAACGCAGTATCATTTTAAGCAAAATAATGTTCCAAGGCAGTATCCCAAAACCATCTGCCACCGAGTTAGCTGAACCTAGGAGCCTTACGGCCAGTGTAAGGACAGACCATCTAAGAATGTCTGGAGAAGCAGTTTACAGACTCACTATCTTCTAAAATTCAGCAGCTTAAGAACTTGAGAACTACAAATAAATTCAACAACCTAAGAACTATATATAAATATATATGAGTGACAAACCGATTACTCTAATTAGAAGTCAAGGTTTAACAGGAGTATTAATTTAATGATGTTTGAAGTTGTCTTTAAAATATAAAATAGTACCTACGTTCTTGTGTTGGAGATTTTTAAAATATTTCCAGTATAATTTCTTTCCAAATAATAGATATTTTTGTATCTTTTATTAGCTATCATTTTGGGTTATAATTCTCACTATAAAGAGACACAGCTTTCTACATTCTAGTGACAAACACTCCATTGAAGTAATTTAATTCTGATGCAAGAATGCAGCAGCTTGCAGCCTTGGCACAGCGTTGGGGGTCTGAGTTTTGTTTGCTTCTGTAATCCTGGACAAGGGACCCCACTCTCCTCTCTTACATCAGCACAACATGAAAAAACATCATCCCTTCTTCACAGGATTAAGAATGAAATGAAGAGAATTCCCTGGCAGTTGAGCAATTCAGACTCAGTGCTTCCACTTCAGGGGGGCATAGGTTCAATCTCTAGCTGGGGAACTAAGATCCCACATGCTGTGTGGCATGGCAAAAAAAAAAACCACCACCACACACACACAAAAGCCAACAGCAAAACAAAATACACAACCAAAACAGAAATAATTAAATGAAATGGGTGGAAAGCGCTTGGTAAGGTACTTATTAAGCACTTTTGCTAGTGCTTTATTAGTGTCAAACGCTTTTATTATCACAGAGCTGACAGTACCAAATGAAGAAACAATGGAAAAGTAAGCCCACCCCTGCAATTCTCCTCCAGTGCTGACTGCTTTAGACTCAGTTCTTCAGTTTACAAGCAGCAGTCAGCAAGCGCCCACCTTTAGACTAAGCCTGCCTTGTTATTTTGGGGAAAAAATATTTCCGGAAGTGTACCTTCAGTTATTGCAATGAGTGATTTACCTTCAGGAAGACAACTGTAAGCTCTCACTCAGGGTGAAAACCTGTGCTTCCAGGTCCATCTCCTCCCTCTATCTATCTGTGGCTCCTCCCACCAGAGCCTGAGAGGTGATCCTGCCTCCCCCTGGCCATGGCCTTGGCAGTGGCCACTGTGGCTGCCATGCCAAGCCTCCCCAGCCACTCTGCCAGCAGGAAAGGTGACCTGTCCCGTCCCAGCTTTAACCACAGATCCTTGGGCCAAATGGGTAACATCACAGTCTGCTCATAAGCACAAAATTTACAGTCAAAAGTTGCACATAAAGGGTTTATTTTAAATGTTTTAAGGATAGGATAGAGTTACATCATAATTATAAAAATTACTTACAGAATTAACAGCTTTATATTGTTTATACTTCTAAATGCAGAGAACAGGGAACTGTCTACACATTGTATAAAATAAAATTAAAATTAAAAATGAATTCAAGCTTGAAAGATGAGGTCATTTACCTAATTTTAAAATGCGAACACGAAGACCTCTGAACTATACACATTCGTTCAACTGCACTAATGATGGAAAATACAAAAAGCGCAGCATTTCCAAGGAACCACAGACATTTCAACCATAATTGTTTTCTGTTATAATAATTATTCCTGTTTTGTCTTTGGAGAACTTTTTTTTAAGACAATCAGCTTAATAATGTTTTCAGGCACTACAATTTGTGACAATCAAAACAGTCTTCTAATGGGTCCACGGCGTTCAGAGATTCAAGCCCAATGCACTTCGGGGTTTGGCACGTAAAACAATAATAGAAATGAAATCTGGTTTAGAAGCAACTGTGATTGTTTTAAGAATGCACAGTCCCTTCAAATGCTGCAAGACATACACAACAGGAAAATCACCTTCTGTTGGCACTACATTTGCTTCACCAGTGCATTTATATCCTACAACCACTAAAACAGCACAGTTAAGCAAATATACAGAAACTGAAAACAAATAAAAACAAAGATAGAAACCAAAAAACCTAAATATATTTAACATGCAATTTTAGTTAGTTACATTGAACATTCTACTTAGAATAGAGCATGCAAAAAAGGATGGTCTGCTTTTAAGGTCTTCCTTTGAAGTTTTATGTGGCAGCCAGACATCNTCAAGAGTGAAGGGGAAAGTGGGTAAGATCTATTACAGTTTTAAATGACATGATACTAGCTTAACTTTTACCAGACTTGCCTGTAACTCCCTTCCAAACAGACAGACTTCTTTTAAGAGGAAGGAGTTCCTCACACAAAATGATTTGTGTTCACATAAATCTGTACGATTCAGAACAAAACCAGTTCTGCTGGCAGAGATTGTGGGTTCGCAGGGACATTTAAGCTTTCATTAAACTGGAAAGCAATCAAGTCTTTATGTCTACAAATTATACATTTAATAGTTCCACAATTGGTAAAGTTCGTGATGACATCTAGGATGTTTTCACCAAATCGTAGACATAAATATGGAAATCATCATCAAACTTGATGAAATAGACAGACGGTTTGGCTTCTACTTGATGAATGACCATGCCAGTCCTTTTAGAGCCATCTTCTTTGGCATATTCCACTTGTTTGCCCACCAGGCTGTCCACAACTTCTCCCGGTTCCCTTTCTGCTGGAGGTGAATCATCTATATTTAAAGGAGGGAGAAAAAAAAGAATTTAAAGTTAGTTTTTAGATACACACCAACTCACATATTTTGATAATTTTTAAAAATGTTTTTAATATCCTGCATTCATCTTGATTTTCTAGACCAAGAGTCAGCAAACTTTTTCTTCAATGGCCAAACAATAAATATTTCAGGCTTGAAGCCATATGGTCTCTGTACCAACTACTCAGCTGTATCTCTTTGTGTGAAAATAGCCACAGATGACACATAAATGAATGGTGTGACTGTATGCCAATAAAACTTTATTTACAAAAATCTAAATATGTAAACAATTTCAAGAATCATACACAGAAATTCTTCTGGCTCATATTTAATTATAGCTATAATTACCTAATGAAGTAATAAGGACTAAAAGAAGGAAAAGGTCAAGAAAAAACTAAATACAGTTCACCTTTAAACAACAGGAGTTTGAACTGTATGGGTCCACTTATACCGGGATTTTTTCCAACAGTAAACAGATCTGCAGTTGGTTCAATCCATGGATACAGAGGAACCACAGAAATGGAAGGGCTACCCATAAGTTATATGCAAATTTTCAACTGCTCAGAGGGATCAGTTCCCCGCCTCAACTCCCAAGTTGTTTAGTTGTCAACTATAATAATATAACATCTTTCTTTAAAAAAAAAAATTACTGACATATAGTTGATTTATAATGTTGTATTTTATAACTTCTTAAAAATAAGTCTGCATTGGTGATTTCCGTCGTGGTCCAGTGGTTGAAATCCATCTTCCAATGCAGGGGATGTGGGTTTGATCTCTGGTCAGGCAACAAAGATCCCACAAGTCAGAAGACAACTAAAGTCCATGGGTGCTGCAACTAGAGACATGGGCTCTGAAGCTTGCACACCACAACCAGAGAGAGGCCTGCACATTTCACAAGGAAGATCTCGCATGCCACAACTAAGGCCTGATGCAGCCAAAAATAAATAATAAATCTAATTCCTTTCAGTAAAAGAAAGTCTTGCTTTACTTTGAAATGATTTTAAAGGAGACAATGCCTATTGGGGTTACTGAGAATGTACTACACACTTAAAATGCCTAAGAATCCCTTCCTTATCTTGGGACTCCTTAAAGCTTTTTTCCCTCAACTTCATTTCATTACACATGGTCCTCCTAACCCAGTTTCAAAATAAGAGATTTCTCATGCTATAAAAATAGGTGCTAGATGAACTCAACTGAATCTCGGAGGATGGATGAGGCACCTGAACTTTTTTTAAAAGTCCCTAAGAAAATGTGAGTGTTGGAAAACACTGCTCACCCTATGACCTAACAAAACTCTGTAAATTCTAGGAAAACATGTAAAAATCAGAGCAAATTATCACTGTCAACAACAAAGAAACAATGTACAAAGGGAAGAAGGGGTTGGCAAGAGGATGGTGCTAGGCAGTTACATATCTTTTTTTAAATTTATTTATTTATTTTACTTTACAATATTTTATTGGCTTTGCCATACACTGACATGAATCCGCCATAGGTGTACATGTGTTCCCCATCCTGAACCCCCTCCCACCTTCCTCCCCATCCTATCCCTTTGGGTCATCCCAGTGCACCAGCCCCGAGAACCTGTCTCATGCATCAAACCTGGACTGGCAATTCATTTCACATATAATATACAAGTTTCAATGCCATTCTCCCATATTATCCCGCCCTCGCCCTCTCCCAGAGTCCAAAAGACTGTTCAATACATCTGTGTCTCTTTTTCTGTCTTGCATATAGGGTTATTGTTACCATCTTTCTAAATTCCATATATATGCGTTAGTATACTGTATTGGTGTTTTTCTTTCTAGCTTACTTCACTCCGTATAATGGGCTCCAGTTTCATCCACCTCATTAGAACTGATTCAAATGTTTTCTTTTTAATGGCTGAGCAATATTCCATTGTGTATATTTACCACAGCTTTCGTATCCATTCATCTGCTAATGGACATCTAGGTTGCTTCCATGTCCTAGCTATTATAAACAGTGCTGCGATGAACATTGGGGTGCACGTGTCTCTTTCAGATCTGGTTTCCTCGGTGTGTATGCCCAGAAGTGGGATTGCTGGGTCATATGGCAGTTCTATTTCCAGCTTTTTAAGAAATCTCCACACTGTTTTCCATAGTGGCTGTACTAATTTGCATTCCCACCAACAGTGTAAGAGGGTTCCCTTTTCTCCACACCCTCTCCAGCATTTATTGCTTGTAGACTTTTGGATAGCAGCCATCCTGACTGGCGTGTAATGGTACCTCATTGTGGTTTTGATTTGCATTTCTCTGATAATGAGTGATGTTGAGCATCTTTTCATGTGTTTGTTAGCCATCTGTATGTCTTCCTTGGAGAAATGTCTGTTTAGTTCTTTGGCCCATTTTTTGATTGGGTCATTTATTTTTCTGGAGTTGAGCTGGAGGAGTTGCTTGTATATTTTTGAGATTAATCCTTTGTCTGTTGCTTCATTTGCTATTATTTTCTCCCAATCTGAGGGCTGTCTTTTCACCTTGCTTATAGTTTCCTTTGTTGTGCAAAAGCTTTTAAGTTTCATTAGGTCCCATTTGTTTATTTTTGCTTTTATTTCTAAAATTCTGGGATGTGGGTCATAGAGGATCCTGCTGTGATTTATGTCGGAGAGTGTTTTGCCTATGTTCTCCTCTAGGAGTTTTATAGTTTCTGGTCTTACATTTAGATCTTTAATCCATTTTGAGTTTATTTTTGTGTATGGTGTTAGAAAGTGTTCTAGTTTCATTCTTTTACAGGTGGTTGACCAGTTTTCCCAGCACCACTTGTTAAAGAGGTTGTCTTTTTTCCATTGTATATCCTTGCCTCCTTTGTCGAAGATAAGGTGACCATAGGTTCGTGGATTTATCTCTGGGCTTTCTATTCTGTTCCATTGATCTATATTTCTGTCTTTGTGCCAGTACCATACTGTCTTGATGACTGTGGCTTTGTAGTATAGTCTGAAGTCAGGCAGGTTGATTCCTCCAGTTCCATTCTTCTTTCTCAAGATTACTTTGGCTATTCGAGGTTTTTTGTATTTCCATACAAATTGTGAAATCATTTGTTCTAGTTCTGTGAAAAATACTGTTGGTCGTTGATAAGGGTTGCATTCAATCTATAGATTGCTTTGGGTGGTATACTCATTTTCACTATATTGATTCTTCCAATCCATGAACATGGTATATTTCTCCATCTATTTGTGTCCTCTTTGATTTCTTTCACCAGTGTTTTACAGTTTTCTATATATAGGTCTTTTGTTTCTTTAGGTAGATATATTTTTCTATTTTAAGAAACCCCTTCCTTACAGGTCCCGAGTAACTCAAACTCTTTCCTCTGGAGCAACAGAGAGCCTTCAAGTAGTATGACCAGATATCCTGGTTGTCCACGCTTATGCCAGTCATCTTGACACACTAGTTAGCAGTGCACCTGTTAATTTTCACATGTATCTTGGTCTGGACCATATCTTGTATTTACATTAACAGCAGTTTGCTCTTTGATTATAATAAATTCTCTCACTGAATGATATAATCCGAAACCAGCAATTCTGATCTGACATAATACAAATAATCCACATGACCATGTTATCAGTTCTGGAGGAATAAAGAGGAAATCTAAGCTGAATTCTTCTTCAACAGCACTCTTCCATCAAGTAGCAGCATCATACCACACCACACTTTCATGGCACCTCATGTGGATGAAGAAATCCCATATACATGACTGCCATATATTTTATAGTAACCATGATGAAGAAGCAAGAGACTAAAACAAAGGCCACCATAGAGCTCTTTGCATCAGAACATCATCACGGATTCTAACAGCAAATAAACTTGCATACCACTCAAAAGAAAGGAGTGAGAGGATAAAGACATGGTCAGTACAGGCAATGGGTAAAGTGCAAATGACCCCATACTTTCTATTATCAAGTCAACAGTACCTGCTTTAGACATTTCTCTACAAAAACGTTAAAAATTTCAAATAGGTTGGAGAAAAGCTTTTAAGGAATGCTCATCAGTAAATTTTTGCCTATATAAACACTTTCCATTATACATTTATAACAAATACACACAAACTAAAAAGAAAAACTCTAAGAAGGCTGAAGTCAGGGCCAGATGACCATGAGTGGGTTCACTGAGCAGCATGTTCACAGGGAGAGCTTAAAAAAAAAAAAAAAAAGACACAAAAATGAAGAAGAGGATATCACACTGCTAATACATCCACTGTCTATCAGCCACATGTGTCTAAGGCCAAGACTTCATGTGTTTGAGGAAAAGCTATTGAGTAGTTAAAAAAAAAAAAGACTCACCTAAAAGTGAAATTAAGAAAATAATTCTAGTCACAACAGCATCAAAAAGAATGAAATACTTAGAAATACATTTAAAAAGTGCAAAATTTAGAAAACTACAAAACATTATTCACAGAAAGAAAAAAAAAACTCAATGAATGAAAAAACATCCCACGCTCATGAGTCAATAGCTTAACACTGTTAAGATAGCAATACCCTCATGCCAAACTGACCAAGAGATTCAACACAATACCTGACACAATCTCGGCTGATTTCTTTGCAGAAACCAACAAGCTGATTCTAAAATTTGTATGAAATTGCAAAGAACAGCCAAAACAATTCTGAAAGAAAAAGAGGAACATTCACACTTCATGATTTTAAAACTTAAAGAATGAAGTTGGACCTGGCATCATATCATAAACAAAAAGTTAACTCAAAATGTATCAAAGATCCAAGTAAGAGTTAAAGACCAACATATACAAGGCTTCTAAAAGACATGAGGTAAATCTTTATAACCCTGGACTTGTCAAGGGATTATTAGATATGACTCCAGAAGCATGAGCAACAGAAAGGAAAAGAGACAAATTGGATGTCATAAAATTTAAAACTTTTGTACTTCAGAGGTGGCTATCAAGAAAGTAAAAAGACAACTCTGAGAATAAAAGAAAGTATCTGCAAATCATGTATCTGACAAGAGACTTGTACCTAGACTACTGACTCTTAACTCAAAAAGACAACATAACTGAAACTACAGGCCAAGGCCACTAATAGATTTCTCCAAACAAGACATACAAAAGGCCAGTAACACATGAAAAGATACTTGACAACTTTAGTCATCAAAAAAATGAAAACCAAAATCACAATGAGGTATCATTTTACTACCACCAGGACGGCTAGATTCAAAAAGGCAAGTCCAGAGATGAATAAATAAACAAAATAGAGTGTATCTATTCAATGGAGTTGTATTTGGGCATTAAAAGAAATGAAGTATGGACACACACTACAACATGGATGAGTCTTAAAAACTCTAAGCTAAGTGAAAGAAGCCAGTCACAAAGGACCCCATATTATATATTCTGTTCATATAAAAATCCAAAGTTCAGAACAGGGAAAGGAAAATACTCTTGGCAAGAGGGTGAATAATTTTACAGCCTAACTAAAATGATCACTTATCCCTAATAATTAAAAATTTTAAATGTATCTCCATAAGAATTAATCAAAGACCTTGTTTTGAAATTCAAATTCCTTCTGAAGTATCAAAAGTAAAAGCTGTCAATTTATACTTACTAGAATCGGGCATAATGCGAAGGTCGCCTTCTTTATAATCATCTAAGAGCTGGTACATGTATAAGACAGGATCTTTCTCATAGGTGATGTAAAACCATGTGTTCATGATAGGGGCGCGTGCTAAGACCATTCCCCTCCACTCGTCTTTAGAGCCGTCCTCTGTCTCAAACATGTGCTCCACTGCTTTGCCAATCATTGTGTCGGCTAGGTGCGCATCACTGATTCGAGATGTTGCTAGGGACAAAAAAAGCAAACAACGGTTTACAAAGTATGCACTGTGAAGACTGAACTTATCCAAAGAAATGATTCTGAAATACACCATCAGGCTTCAGAATCATGTGGAGGGCTGTATGAAGGACAACCACCAAATTCACATTACTGATGCAGCCTAGGATGGATTCCATGGAATTACTATGCCCCAAAGTCATGTTACTGAGAGCACCTGTTTTTCTTTCTCTGAATTCATCTGCTCTTGGTACTGTATTTAACTAAAAATTTTAGCTGTTTATTTAAAGGTATAAAGTATTTTGGTTACAATTAATAATTATTTTTAAATTATTAATAATTATAGACTTACAGAAGAGTTCCAAAATTAGTATTGTCTCTATATAACTTTTACCCACTTTCCCTTTACATTTAAAAAATGATCATTTATTAAAATCAAGATATTAACCTTCAAGGCATAGGTTTTCACTCTTGCCCCTACAATCTATTTTTTATAGTAATCAGAGTGGTATTTGTGGCAGTTACACCAGATTATGTCAATCATTTCTTAAAATACTCCAGCATTTTCCTTTCATAATCTGAATAACAAACTGTTTCTCCAGAGCCAAAGCCCCTCATTCCACCCATCATTCCAAAGCCATCATTCCCTGCTGGTCCTCTGCTGTCCTGTTCTGTCACCTTCCTCCTACTGCCTATACCTCAGCAGCATGGGCATCTTTTTCTGGGATGCCCTTGAGCTGACCATGGCCCCCACATCCTCAGGGGCTGACTCTTCCTGAGCAGGTGTCCACCCTGAGGCTCCCCAGGACCATGTTATGAAAAGCGCCCCACTGCTCGAGCACCTGAATTTTATTTCTTAAAGACATTCACCACTATCTATAATCATCTTGTTTTACAGGTTTGTTTACTTGCTTTTACACTACACAGTGATGACAGCAAAGATCTTTCCCATCTTATTTTCAATAATGTGATCACAGGGGTTCAACACTGCTGTGTGAATTAATTATCTCAGAGGAAAAATAGGTTGCTCTAGATTGACATTAGGAACACAGGTGAAAAATGACAAGCTTCTTTTCTTTTTTAGTACTGGGAAAATTATGAAGGAGCCTATTGATGTTAAGATTTCTCCATTCTTCATATTTCAGATAATTCTTTAAGGAAAAAAAGGCACTTCTATCTCATTCATGAGGGCTATTTTTGTTTAAAGACACTGCCGCTATTTAATTTTATCAGCAAGACACTCTAAACACAAATGGCAGTTTCATTTACATGTGCAATAATTACCAAAAATAACAGATTCTCTGCTGCACAACACTAAAGCAAAATCCCACCAGTTCCTCCAAACCAGAAGGTATCTATCTTTCTGATCTCAGGACCCCTAAAATTTCTGAGTATTTGTTTATATGAATGATAAATATTTTAATAATTATAAATGATGCATCTAAAGATATTTTAAGATACTCACAGAAATACATTTTTAAGGAAAAATAACTATTTTCTAACAAAATCTTAATATATATCTAGCTTTAGAAACAGGCAGCTAGACTCATATCTGTTTTTTCTTTACATGCATAATCTTTTTTGCATGTACTTTTAGCTGACGTGTAAAATCACAAAGATATGCTGTTGAAAAAGAGTATTTTATTAGTCTTTCAAATAATTCTAGATATTCTTCTCTGATATCACATCAAAACTCATCAAGTCTTGGCTTTCCTTAAAGGTTAATTGCACTGTAGACCCTGAAATCATTATCAATAAACTTCTGTCAAACTATTAAAATTCATCTGCAGAATACATAAAGAATTCCTACAACTCTGCAATGAACAAAGCAAATTGAAATAACCCAATCAAAAATGTGGGCAAAGGAATAGGTATTTCTGCAAAGATGACATATGAATGGTCAAAAAGCACATAAAAAGACGCTCAGCATCACTAATCATCAAAAAAAATTCAAATCAAAACCAACAGAAAATAACAAATGTTGGTGAAGATGAGAAATTGAAATCCTTATGCACTATTGGTGGGACTATAAAATGGTAATGAACACTATGGAAAAACAGTATGTATACAAGCACCTCAAAAAATTAAACAAAATTACCGTATGATTCCACTTCAGGGTAAATGCCCAAAAGAACTGAAAGCAGGGCTTGAAGAGATATTTGTATACGCATGTCATAGCAGCACTATCCACAATAGCCACAGTAGAAGGAACCCACCAAGAGTCCAATCAGGGACGAATGGGGAAAAATATGGTATACACATACAATGGAATATTACTCAGCCTTAGAAAGGAAGGAAATCCTGTCACATACTACAACATGAACGAACCTTGAGGACGCTATGCTAAGGGAAAGAATCTAGTCACAAAAAGCAATACCACATGATTCTACTTATGATGTACCTAAAGTTATCAAATTCATAGAAACAGGATGGTGGGTACAGGGGGGATGGTGGGAGGGGAAAAATGAGTTGCTTAATGGGGAAAGAATTGCAAAATAAAAGAATTTGGAAATCTATTCCATAACAGTGTGAATATACTTAACACCTCTGAACTGTACATTTGAAAACAGTTATGGTAGTAAATTTAATGTTCTGTGGTTTCACCACAACAAAAAAAAACCCTGTTGGTCTTTGAATGGATCTTTCACCAATATATGATTTGGTATCATCATACACTGTTCGTATCAAAAATATATTCACTGAGCTATGCAGATCTTCCAGATAGTGGGAAACCTCAGTAAATAACTGTGAAAGGATGAGAGTGATAAAGGCAAATTATACCTTAATATTATTATGAATTTTGATCTCATAAGGCACATGAATATGCTTCAGGGAACCTTAACAGTCCCCAGACCATGCTTTGGGAATCAGTACTCTGTGATGTCACTTTCTCTCACCTTTAGCTTAAGGTTAAGGAAAACAAAACTAACTTACATGTACTGCCTAAAGCAAATTAGGAAAAACCATTTTCTTTCTACATGGAATATAGATGAAGTCCAAATAACTTTTCAGAATAAAGTATCACAGGGAATACTATAATTAACTGATAATTATGTTAGTCATATAACATACTGCTGGTTTGCACATAGGCCTTTAGATTTCCTTTTTCTGTTTACAAAAGCAATCCACGTCTATTGATGGAAACTGAAAAGGCCCATAACTGGAAAGAAAAACATTAAGAAACCCTAAATCTCATCACCAAAGACACTCATATATTTCTGGGTATCTTGGTTTGGTAAAATCACTGTTTTTTAATAAATCAAGCTAAGTTTTTTCTGCTCTATGATGACAAAAGAACTAATACAGGTCATGTGGCAGAATACAGTAAAATCTCAAATAAGTTAGCAGTCTTACCCTTGAAGGAGTCAGAAAAAGAATTATGATAATTAATGAGCACAAATAATTGATATAAAGGTGAGGATACTTTTTAAGCCTTGAAGGGAAGATTCTTCCATGTTAGTTTCTAATGTGGGGAATGGACTGCTCTCAAGATCAAGAGGAAAGAGGGCATGCCTCATAAGCAACAGTGTGTTCAGTCACACTGAAAGGAGATAAAGTTTAAAATGCAAAAGATTTACTATTACACAATTAGTTACCTGTAGTTAAAAACACAAATTTTAAGAAAGACTTCTGTGAAAGCTGAACTATATTTATACAGGATGAGTAAAGACAATATATGCTATCTAAAGTGAAGATTAAAAAGTAACTTGCTGCTCTGCCAAAGTTAACCTGATGGGGAAGCACTGTTCCAGGAACACAAGGGTAAAAACAAAGGGACAGGGGACTGGTAAGCATCTTCGCTTGACAATCTGATTCCAAAATTCTATCCTCCAAGTACAGAGCTGCTGAAGCTATATTTGTAAAAATACAGGCTTTCAAAGGACAGTTACAAAAACATAAACCAGATTCAGGCAATGGCAGCATCACTGTGAAAATGAAAATACTCCAAAGAAAGGAACATTAATTTGGGAGTATTCTATTGATCTTAAAAATAAAACCTAGTTTATTTTATTCTTAAAAATAAAACCAGTCATTATGCCTAAGGTATGTAAGGCAAAACTGATTCACATGACACTTAAAGTCATTCATAGCTCCTATGACCATTTGTATATATAAAAAATAAACTGAGGCTGTCATTTAAAAAAAAAGAAAAAAAGCCATTCACTTCCCACAAACCTTGCAAAACAAACCCTTAAAAATATAATAAAATTCACATGCATTGGTTGCTTAAATTTTACAATGATCACTTTTGTAAAAATACACAATGAAAGATACACTTCACCTAAAAGATTCTAAAATAAACACATGAAATTTTTCTTAGCTATTATATGATGAAATAAGTACACTGAATATTTGAGCTAATGAGAAATACTCTTACCCATCAGAGTCCAGACAAACTGTGAGCAAAACGTGGGAAATAATCATATTAGAAAATATTAGATTGTCAACTTCTTAGGGAACAATTTTATACATCTTTATATCCCTCATAGTTCCTTTGAACTGTGGTTTCAGGACATCTGCTCAGCAGTTTTTATGGTCTTAGGTGACTGATTTAAATATGTATCAGAAGTGCTTATACGCCAATACAAAGACAAATATCAGTAATGCAAATAATCAAAAAGCATCCATTTCAGAAATCCTTTTTAAAGCATATAATGCACAAATAGTAAAGAGAACTTACCAACTCTATCAGGGAGGACTTCAAGCGCAGAAACTCTTTCATCTTTATTAAGTTCTAGTCCATAAACACAGTCAAATCCATCGTATTTTATAAGATACAAAGAAGGGTTTACAGGCACCTGGTCCAGAACGGTTCCTTTCCACTGGGTGACAGGGCCATTCCCCTCCTTCCACCCATGCTGAATCCTGCAGCCTACGATGTTCCGCCGAGGCTGGGAAACAGGCTTGCTTGGTCCCACACTGCTCCGATGTTTTCTGTATTCACACATACACACACGTAAGGTATCTTCTCAAAGTAGGCACTCCCACCAACACAACTACTGCTAGCTAGCATGCTCTCATCAGAAATGGTCCCGGGCCTGTGCAGGCTAACGCTGCCACACCCAGGGTTCAGGTGGCTCCAGCCAGCCATTCCCTAGTCCCGCAGCCGCGCAGCGGCGGCTCACAGGGGGCGCATTTCAAGCAATAGAAGCTTCCTGTGCGCCTTAAGTGTGGAGGCAGAAAAACACAGGACTAGACCGCAGCAACTAAGCCCTAAAATTAAGCATCAGTTTTCAGCTTTCTGAGTTTCTTTTAATTCAATCAACTTACAGTTATCCAAATTAATCAAAGAAAGACAAGGGCTGATTACATGATATAACTGCATGTGCATATGGCTTTATGAAACAGAAATCCACTTCTTGTCAAAATGAAATAACTATTCAATTTCACCCATTCTTATGCCCACATAACTTTATTCCCACTGGCTTAAACAAATAAGAATAAACTAGACATTTAACTTTTTCTTAAACTAAGTCCAGGTTGGCTTATATTCATGCATTTTTACCATCATTACTTCTCTAGAAAGCACATAACCTTCAACCCTTAAATCTGTAGCAAATAATGTAATATTGAAAATTATTCAAGTGACATACATCAGTTACAAACAACTGAAAAACCTACATACAATGTTTACAAATAATACACCTGGCTCTTGATGTCAGGGGAAAAAAAAACCTTTCATTTCATGGAGCAATCCAAAGACAAGGGACAAGACTTGGCTTGAATGTAAGCTGAAGGCCGAAGTCATGCTGGCACATGGATGCTGCTATATGCCAAGAATGAAAAAAATTTAGAGAGCAGATAAGAATTGCTTTTCTGCTAAATGGCATAGATACAAATGTACCTTAAAAAAACAAGCAATTTATTATAGGATGTAATATTTAAAATACAATTGTATATATTTGAAGTAGACCAGCTTGGTAAACTTACTGGGTTTGTGAAACAGAGAAAACAGGTTACAGCAAACCATTAAAACTGCCTTAATGAGGTCTATAATCAGTTGACACAATCCTTTCCTACGCAAGACACGGAACACCATTTGGGGAACATCTCAGAAGGAAAACTTCTCCAGCTGGACTGTAAAAGGATTCACAGGATTACACACAGGATTATGAGACCATGAGACCAGAAGACACTGTGTCTGCCCCAGCACTTAAGGCTTTGCACACACCCAGCCAAAAGGCCTTCCAGGAAAGGCAGAACCAGGCACTGAGGTCACAAGCTGAGAATAACACCCTGAACAGGACGAGGCCTGGGGACAGAGGAAAGAGGAGGCTCAGGTGCTGGGCAGACCTCAACAGGTAATCCAGAGAGGACCACACAGAAGTGTACTAGCGTGCCGTGGGAATACTGACGCACTCTGCAGCATGGACGGCTCTCCTGGTACAGCGTCACCCCTTCCCAAGGACAAGTCTCAGGAGAGGACCATGGTGGCAACAACAGCAGCGGAAGCAAACCCAAGAATATGTCCACAAGGTAGAGGGAAACTATCACCTAACATTGTGCACACACGAAGGCCATGAAAGAGGAACTTACATCAGAAACAGATGGAACACCATTTGGGGAACATCTCAGAAGGAAAACTTCTCCAGCTGGACTGTAAAAGGATTCACAGGATTACACACAGGATTATGAGACCATGAGACCAGAAGACACTGTGTCTGCCCCAGCACTTAAGGCTTTGCACACACCCAGCCAAAAGGCCTTCCAGGAAAGGCAGAACCAGGCACTGAGGTCACAAGCTGAGAATAACACCCTGAACAGGACGAGGCCTGGGGACAGAGGAAAGAGGAGGCTCAGGTGCTGGGCAGACCTCAACAGGTAATCCAGAGAGGACCACACAGAAGTGTACTAGCGTGCCGTGGGAATACTGACGCACTCTGCAGCATGGACGGCTCTCCTGGTACAGCGTCACCCCTTCCCAAGGACAAGTCTCAGGAGAGGACCATGGTGGCAACAACGGCAGCGGAAGCAAACCCAAGAATATGTCCACAAGGTAGAGGGAAACTATCACCTAACATTGTGCACACACGAAGGCCATGAAAGAGGAACTTACATCAGAAACAGACGAGCCCAGAAGAGAGGCAGTCACACCAGAGAAGATGCAAGAAAAATAAGACACAGTCAAGAAACAAGCAGCAATTTGAAATCTTTTCAGAAATGAAGACTAGACTAGAGGAACATGGAAGAAATTGACACCAAGGGGCATTTAAGGAAAATTGTTGTTTTTCGGTCATTAAGTCATGTCCAACTCTGAAATCCCACAGACTGCAGCACATCAGACTCCTCTGTCCTCCACTATCTCCCAGAGTTTGTTCAAATTCATGTCCATTTAAGGAAAATATATAATAAAAAAAAGAGACAGATGGGAACAGATATGAAATACCAACTTCTATATAACAGAATCACCCAATAGCTAAAATCAAAGGAGCAGAAAAAAATGCTAAATAATTTAAGAAAAATATCCTTAAATGAAAGACTGAAATGTACAAACACATCCCTGGTAAAACTGACACAGAACTACTGATGCTAAGACATCCAGTAAAACAAACAAACTTTAAGGAAAATAATACCTCCTGGGCATCCAAGCAAAATAACTGCATCACTTGTAAGGAAAAGCAAATCACAATGTGACAGCAACCCTGTGTGCCACCAGATAACAGAGTGATGAACTTTCAAGTTCTCAGGAAAGAAACGTGAGGTGATGATTTCATAGTCAGCAAAGAATTCTATACTATCCTCCAAGTAAAAGTATACAGATAAAACTGTGAACAAATAAGAACCTGAGAAATATTGTTCTTACAGATGCTTCCTGAAGAAGTTAACAGTTGGCCATCCATATCCATGGGTTCCACATCCTCAGATTCAACCAAATGTGGACAGAAAAACAAAGTTCCAAAAAGCGAAGCTTGAATTCGCCACATGCAGGCAACAATTTACGTATCATCTACATTGTATTTACAACCATTTACACAGTATTTACTCTGTATTAGGTATTTATGAGTAATCTAGAGATGATCTGAAGTATACAAGAGGATGTGTGTGGATGTTATGTGCAAATACTAGGCCATTTTATATAATGGACTTGAGCATCCGTGGATTTTGGTATGGTGTCAAGGGTCCTAGAATCAATCCACCCCAGATACCAAGGGACCACTGTATAGGACAGTTTCAAATAATCAAGAATGCTAAGAAAGCTTTCAGCACAGAGCTGACAGTAAGCAGTGAGCATCTCTTACTGCAGAACAAACATAGGGAAAAGAGAAATACAGCAATATGTAACTACTGTCTGCTTTGACAACAGAGTTAACACCACTCTGCCAAGGGGAAGGGAAGAAGAATACCTGTAAAGTAGAAGTTCGATAAATGAAAGAGTGTGACTTGGAACAGAGCACCTTCTATTAAAGGGAGAGAAAGCAGCAAAGTGGGAGCTGAATTCAATACTGTTCATAGTAAGGAACCGATCTATATAACCTAAAATAAATAAAGACTGGTTAATTTTAAAAGACTGCAGTATAAAATTTAGTGGAGAGAAAAGCCTTAATAACATACTATCAGTCACTAACTTGTAACTACTACTAATACTCAAAGCTAAAAATGAACTGAAGACCTCTTCATAATCCCTGAAAATGGGCCACTACATCCAACTGGCCCTCTGTAGGGATATATGGCTGTGAAAGAGACTATATTTCTTCTTTAGAATACAGGTATCTTTTCAAGCATTACATTTTTCTTCAAATAGACAATTACCTATCTTCTTTTGATCTTTAGGAAAAAGTCCTTGTGATTCATCCTGTGTACAAGATCAGGTTTTCTTCAAAGCAAAGGCAGAGGTTGGTCCCCAGAACTCACTGAAGAAAGAATTCAGTCATATGCACCATTTTATAATCCATAGACATTCTGTTATTACTATCAAAATTATAAGCAAATATAGCATCTTCACCAGTGTGATGATTAATCTTAATGTGTCAAGTTGTCTGGGCCACAGTACTAAGACACCTAGTCAAACATTACTCTAAATGTTTTCTGTGAAGGTATTTTTCTACATGAAACTAACATGTAAATCAGTAGAGAGACTGCCCCTTCCATAACATAGGTGAGTCTCATCCAATCAGCTGACGGCATTAACATCAGCTCTTCCCTGGATCTCCACTCTCTCTGTGCACACACCATTGGTGCTGTTTCTTTGGAAAACACTGACTACAAACAGAAGAGTCTATCCTAGATTCAGAGGCATGAAATTTTCTACTATCATGATTCTCAAAAAAAAAAAAAAAAACCAATATACAGTTAGCAACTGATAGCAGAAAAGGGAAACTGGAAGACTCAGAATTCAGTCATTCATCCTTCCTACACTCACTAGTGGCACTCGTCTGTAATTCTTCAGTTGCTTCTGAAGAGGGAGATGCATGACGCTCTCTTTAATCCCATTTCAGAACGAGCAGCTGTCATCCTAGTCACCTCCAGTGGAAGTACACAGACTCTCCTCCCTCTTGGGAACAACACGAGGGACTCCAATCCAGCTAGCAAGCAGCACTATTCAGAGTGGTTGCTATACCCTTTAGTTCTGAAGAAACATGACCCTTCCTTTTTTGCATGGATTTTATTTTCTCACTTTCTTTAAGGGAATTTTAATCAGCTTCTGTTACATAATATGTGGTAGTAATATGCCTGGGTTACTCCCTGGTTAGTGGAACTTCCTGAAAGCCGTATGTCGAGGTAAAAAAAAATACAAATAAATAAATAATCTACTTATTAAGCTTACAATTTTCTACTAAAGTACACAACTAAAACCCAAGCAAGACAAAAAATAACCCCCAAAAAATTAAACAACAGAAAAAACATTCTTAGTAAAGGAAGGAAAAAATTTTAAAAACAAACACCTTAGTAACCCTTTCCTGGCCACATTCACCANTCTTTCACTTTCATCAAGA